TTTCTCCTTGGAACCTCTGAGGCCTGAAGATGACGATGATGATGCTAATGATGGTGATGAATCCTTGGATTCTGGGTCTGATGGTGCAGAGAGCTCCTCGCCAGATGCTTCAATGGCGGACATTATCCCAATACTAGATGAGCTCCACCCACTTTTAGACTCAGAAGCTCCCCAACCTGTTCATATGTCACGTGAAGTAGGATCTGATGCTGCTTCAGAGGGTCCTAATGGGAGCACTGATGATGGCGATGAATCTGATGTTGATACAGAAGATCCGGCAGAAGAAGGTGAGGAAGATAATGATGATGACGATGACGACCTGTCAAGGACCTCAAGCCCAAACCATCCCTCCATAGTGGTTGTTTCACCTTGTCCCAGGCCATCAAGTGATATTTCATGTTTTCTACTGTGTTGCCCCAAAGCAAGTAATCTTGGATTTTCTTCAGTCTTTTAGCCACACTAGCAGGCATTATGGTGCATGTATAATTATAATGTCACATGCATGTACAATAATTTTCATACTCATATCATGTAGTTAATTAATGGCCTCAGCAATAAAGGCTAATTAAACAAAAGACAACATTCAGCAACTTAAGAAAACTAAATTTGGCCATAGGTTGAGAAGTACTTAGTTCTTATCTGTTAGTGCAAAACTGTAAGGGAACAAGATCCAAACAAGCTAAGCTTAGTCCAAGTGATAGAATTGATAAATCCCGTGCACAATGAGAGACTCTAACTATCTTCAAGAAGCACCATCGTGCCTTTTGCCTATTTTGTAATTTTTTCAATTCTAGTAAAAACTAATTGATGAATGAATATAGCCTCACCGTCACTTTCCTTTAAAGATTCTAATTGCATCCCCATCAATAATTAAGAAAAGAAAAAGTACTGCAAGAAGATACATAAGGCATCAACTGAATTACTTTTTTTGAGATAAAAGTGAGTTATAGTATTAAATAGAGCGTCACCCATATACAACAGATAAGTATTTACAGATCAATAAGTATATCTACAATGTAACATAAATCATCAAAAGAGCTACGGTTGTGACCAAGCATCAGCTGAATTCCGTTAAAGCATCGAAGATATTAATTACCTTTAGCTTTGCTGCTAAACATCCCTGCAACAGCTAACAAGCTTTCCTCACTGGTCTCCTGGAACTAATTTACAAAAAATTTATACATATTACACATTTTTGTCTTCAGGGAATCCAGGCTCAACTTATTCACAAAATATATCATTTTTAAGTTGATAAAATCACCATTTCATATTTTTATGTCTATAAGCATCAAATTTTGAATCACTGAAATTGCCTAAAATATCAGGATTCCAATAAAATAACATGCTATGGCATTGTTGACAGGAGAGACTGAGATTACAATAGACAGAAGAGTCTGCCAACAATGTTCTGTAATAAAGTGACAGTCATATCAGAAAAGGGATATAATAGAAATAACCACATTAAGGATTAGTAATAACCACATTAGGAATTTGGTTGAACTTGTCGGCATTAGTACTGTGAATTGCAAACTTGTGATGAAAATAATCCTCAACAGAAAGCAGCTCTAAAGTGGAAAGTAAATGTAAGTGACTATTAATGTGTAGTTGAGAAAGCTAATGGGTGGATAATAGAATCAAAAAAAGTTCACCTGTACACTGTAAACAACTCGAGCAAGTGCTTTGACCATATCCTCCACAACATTTGTATTCTTAGGATGCCTAAAATACAGACATAATGCAATCAGTAGTGCCTCAAAAAGATACCAGGAAGCTTGACTTTTCTTAATTAAAGTTACTAACAATGTGATCAGTCACAAGTATGCACTGATGTAAGTTTATAAACCACAGTACATCCTTTGGAACTTCAATATATTACTAAAGGTCGAGTATGATAGAAAAGAAAAAAGAGTCTGAAGAGTTTGACAATCAAACAATAAACAAAGTAGTTTCTTCAAAGTGAAGTCTTCTTCATAAGACAATATTAAGATTAGTGAAACATTCTAGACAAGACAGAAACTCAACAATCGAAACCCCCCAGCCCCCTCCTCCCATGGAAAATGGAAAAACAAAAACCAAAAACCAAACATTTTTAGTAACAAAATAAAATACTAAAAACAAAGCGCAAGTGTAACATGTTTTAGTAACAAAATAAAATACTAAAAGAAAAGCTCAGGTGTAACACCCTGCTGCCTATATTGGTAGTCCTATGGGAGATATGTGCAGTATAATTTGTGTTCTAAAGATCTTGAAGCACCAAAAGCTAGCACTTTTTGAGCAACTAGCTGAGTTTATGAATAGTTTATTGTTTTAAAATGGTATCAGAGTCAACCCAAACCCACTCACCTGTTGAATTTGTTGATTTTGTTTTATTAGATTTGGTTTCATGTTTAGTCTAAATTGATTTTGGAGAAAAAAAATAGAAATTTTATTTCTCTTCTTTTACGTTGTTACACTTATAGTATTTATATAATTCATAATCTACTGATAAGGAAATTTTTATTCTACTAGACTTTTAATTACATAACATTACTATTCTAGTTGAATTCTAATTATATTATCTAAATTAATTAAAAAATAACTAATTAAATAATAAAATATGATACTCAACATCCCCCTTAAATTAGTGCAGGAATATCACACATGTTCAACTTGTAAAATAAGTTCTGAAGAGTCATCCTATAATCTACAAGAAACGTACACGCGCGGAGGAGCCGAAAAAAGGCCCAGAAAATACTGATCGAAGCAGCTCGCGCGCAGAGGAAGCAGATCTGCGCTGGATTGCGAAACCAGAAGGCGAATGCGTGCAAAGGAGCTAGAAAAAGGACAAAAAAAGGCTGGTTGGAGCTGCTTGTGCACGAAGAAGGCCTGGTCGCGTACTCAGAGGCAGCCATGTGCGAATGAGTTAAAAGAAGACCAGAAAAAGTTGGTTGAAGCAACTCACACGCCAAGAAAAAGATCTGTCTGGCAAGACAGCGGCTCGGCTCAGGCTTGCTCAAGCAGCAGCTCAAATCGGCTCCGCTCAAAAAACGATTTGGACATACCAGATCGTGCAGCTTCATGCGAAGGAAAGCAGATCGTGGCGCAATCTGTGAAGCGGGACCTCGTGTGCAGAAATTAGAAGGCGGGATCGCATTGATAAGGGCAGATCTGTTCAAATCGAGACTTTCTGGTGGCTTCCCAACGATTTCTGGGCCGGATGGTAGCTTTTCCAGCGGCGTGTGTGTCTCACGCACTTCTGCTGCCGGTGGCGCGTGATGCTCACGCGCTCTATAAACAGTAACCAAAGTCGGGTGGTAGACCGGCAGTGAGTCTCCAATGCTGTCTAGGGAGGTGGATAAAAAGTATATCTGAATA